AAAATTCCCGTTTTTCCTTAATTTTTATATTGTTTTTTCCCGGCGCTTGTGAAAACTACTGGGAAATTTAAATTTTGACCTCCCCAATGCACCAACGATATTCACTTTCCAATCGAACAAGATACTGAAGTCGAAAATCGAAGCATTATTTCGACTACTTATCGTGTACACAGATACAAAAAAAATAAAAAAATAAAAAAACACACATCATTGTAAAATCAATACATTCATCGTTTCACTCAGAATCTAAAAATGATAGAACCTTATAAAATATCAATAACCGATAAATACGTAATTTTAAACCAAGTTAAAACTTTTGGAGTAATTTCAAATACCGACACATTAACGCCCCACGAAAACAAAAAAAAAAAATGTAAATTATGTCGGACAAATTTTGCTATTCCCAGTTTTGAAAATGTATTAACTAACGAAAATACTGCCGTCGACTGTTGTTTGTCCTGCGTTTTACAATTGCACAAAGTTCTTCAGAGTAAATCAAATAATGTAACGCTATCTTAATTTAAACGCATTTAATTTTAAAAATTATTTCTGTTGCAATTTGGACCATGGTTGTAAGTCTTTCTTCGTACATGGTCTTTTATATTTTTCCATTTTATTTTTTAATTCATTATTCGACAATAGTCTTTTACATTTTATAAAATTTAATTGCTATAAATATAACCGAACGTATCAAATAAATCGGATTTTATAAATAATTTTATAAAAAAAAAAATTGTATCTATTATGTAAACCGTAGTATTTATATTATGTTGTATTGGTAGTTTTTGTCTACTATTTTTAAATAAGCATTTACTTTATTTATTTATATTTTTTTAATATTAGTTTTATTCATTTCATATTTGTTTTTAAATAATCATTTACTTTGTTTATTTATACTTTTTTTAATACTATTTTTATTTATTTTATATTTGTAATAAAAATTATGCTTTTTTGATTATGTTAAATTCTTAATATTTCTAATCTTAATAAGACGCATTTGAACTTCTATAATAGAAATATGCCTTTGACTGAAACTAGAATATTTGTTTGATATTTTAGATTCTGAGCGGAGCGATGAATGTATTGGTTTTACAATGATGTATGTTTTTATATTTTTATATTTTATTTATATTTTTATTTATATTTTTATTTATATTTTTATTTATATTTTTGTGTCTGTCATCACGTTTTGGGACAGTAAAAGTGCTTCGATTTTCTTCAATAGTACCTTTTCTGATAGGAAAGTGAATCTAGTTGGTACTTTGGGGGGTCAAAAGTAAACATTTTCCAGTAGTTTTCACAAGCGCCGGGAAAAACAACATAAAAATTAAGGAAAAACGGGAATTTTTACGCAAAATCGATTTTCCAAAAAATCGAATTTGGTTATTGGTGTAACTTTAAAACAAATGACCGTAGATACATGAAATTTTCACTGGTTGTTTATATTTGCATTTTCTATACACGATAACATTTTCAAAATATTTTGATTTATTTTGAACTGTTTAGGGACATTTTCATTTTTCATTTTTTTTTAGTTTTTTTTCTAGAAATATCAATAAAATTTTATTTGTTGGTTGCGAAAGCTTGAAAATTTAATAGAAGGCTCCTAATATGTTGTTTCAAAGGCAGATGAAAAATATTAAAAATCCTTAGTCACAATTTTTTTTTATAAGCGTTTAAAGTTCAAAAATTGACAAAATATGGAAAAATCACGAAAATTAGCAAATTATTTTGAGTTAAGAATTCGTAAAAATTTTTCTTTTTAAATCTAAGATTTGAAAATGAAACACAAGATTCTTTATAAGATTATCTACCTTTATCAATAAAAAAATCTCTACCGGACAGTCAAATTAAATTTTTATGAGCGTTTGAAATTCAAATTTTTACAACATTGGATTTTCACTCGATTTCTCATGTAGCGATTTCATTATTTTGTTGTAATTCAAAAACGAATAACTGTAGATACATGAAAATTTCACTGAATGTTTATATTAGCATTTCCTATACACCATACAATTTTGAAAATATTTTGACTCTTTTTGAGCTGTTTATGGACATTTACAGCTTTCAATTTTTTTTATTTTTTTTTCTATAAATATCAATAAAGTTTTATCTGTTGGGCCAAAAAGTGTAAAAATTTAATACAAGGCTCCTGATATATTGTTACAATATCAGTTGAAAAATATTAAAAATACATAGGCACGATTTTTTTTTATAAGCATTTAAAGTTGGAATTTTGACAAAATTTATCAAAATCTCGAAAATTATCAATCGTTGGAATTAAAAAATTATAAAATGTTCAGTTTTTATAACTAAGAGTTGAAAATTTAAAACAATGATTCTCTTAAATAATTCATACTGTAACCAAAAAATCTAAAAAATATATAAAAACACTTATTTTTTACAGACATTTTAATTTCAAATTTAGACAAAATTTCATATTTAAACCAAGAATTACGATTTTAGTTATTTTGTTGTGATTGTATAATATTATTCGTGGGTACTTGAAATTTCTAAAGTAATCTACTATATATATCTATGATAGTATCAGGGTTTGTTGTTGGTGTATAACGCGTTATAAGTACCTAATGGATATTGGATATGATTAATTTGGAATTCATTATGGGTCAATTTTTTTTAATACCATAGATATGTATATAATATGTCTTATACCTAGAAGGACATACCGTCTCCGCTCAGAATCGTTTTTCTTATACAATGATATTATATCATTGAATTCAAATTTAATACCATCCATTATACAATGACCCACTTGTAACCTACTGTACAGCAGAGCGACACCCACTTGCCCACCTTTTTTTTTTTTGATGTATAACGTTTATATTTATATTGTGTCATGTTATTATTTTTCTTTTTACAAATAACCGTTAATATTATCAACTTTTAACACGTTGAGTGCTGAAAGTCGACACGGTTTTTCAGTATCGCTCGCTCGATATTTGTAATATTTTTAGATTCTGAGCGGAGCGATGAATGTATTGGTTTTACAATGATGTATGTTTTTTTTTATATTTTATTTATATTTTTGTGTCTGTCATCACGTTTTAGGACAGTAAAAGTGCTTGGATTTTCTTCATCAGTAGCTTTTCTGATAGGAAAGTGAATCTAGTTGGTACTTTGGGGGGTCAAAAGTATAAATTTCCCAGTAGTTTTCACAAGCGCCGGGAAAAATAACATAAAAATTAAGGAAAAACGGGAAATTTTACGCAAAATTGGTTTTCCAAAAAATCGATTTTGGTATTGGTGTAACTCTAAAACAAATGAACGTATATACATGAAATTTTCACTGGTTGTTTATATTTGCATTTTCTATACACGATAACATTTTCAAAATATTTTGATTTATTTTGAACTGTTTAGGGACATTTTCATTTTCCATTTTTTTTTAGTTTTTTTTCTAAAAATATCAATAAAATTTTATTTATTGGTTGCGAAAGCTTGAAAATTTAATAGAAGGCTCCTAATATGTTGTTTCAAAGGCAGATGAAAAATATTAAAAATCCTTAGTCACAATTTTTTTTATAAGCATTTAAAGTTCAAAAATTGACAAAATATGGAAAAATCACGAAAATTAGCAAATTATTTTGAGTTAAGAATTCGTAAAAATTCTTTTTTTTAAATCTAAGATTTGAAAATGAAACACAAGATTCCTTATAAGATTATCTACCTTTATCAATAAAAAAATCTCTACCGGACAGTCAAATTAAATTTTAATGAGCGTTTGAAATTCAAATTTTTACAACATTGGATTTTCACTCGATTACTCATGTAGCGATTTCCTTATTTTGTTGCAATTCAAAAACGAACAACTGTAGATACATGAAAATTTCACTGAATGTTTAAATTAGCATTTTCTATACACCATACAATTTTGAAAATATTTTGACTCTTTTTGAGCTGTTTATGGACATTTACAGCTTTCAATTTTTTTTAGTTTTTTTTTCTATAAATATCAATAAAGTTTTATCTGTTGGGCCAAAAAGTGTAAAAATTTAATACGAGGCTCCTGATATATTGTTACAATATCAGTTGAAAAATATTAAAAATACATAGGCACAGTTTTTTTTTATAAGCATTTAAAGATCAAATTTTGACAAAATTTATCAAAATCTCGAAAATTATCAAACGTTGGAATTAAAAAATTATAAAATGTTCAGTTTTTATAACTAAGAGTTGAAAATTTAAAACAAAGATTCTCTTAAATAATTCATACTGTAACCAAAAAATCTAAAAAATATATAAACACACTTATTTTTTACAGACATTTTAATTTCAAATTTAGACAAAATTTCATATTTAAACCAAGAATTACGATTTTAGTTATTTTGTTGTGATTGAATAATACTATTCGTGGGTACTTGAAACTTCTAAAGTGTACTATTATATATCTATGATAGTATCACGGTTTTTGTTGATGTATAACGCGTTATAAGTATCTAATGGATATTGTGATATGATTAATTTGGAATTTATTATAGGTACCTATTATAGGTCAATTTTTTGTTTAATACCATTGATATGTATATAATATGCCTTATACATAGACTGACATACCATCACCGCTCAGAATCGTTTTTCTTATACAATGATATTATATCATTGAATTCAAATTTAATACCATCCATTATACAGTGACCCACTTGTAACCTACTGTACAGCAGAGCGACACCCACTTGCCCACCTTTTTATTTTTTTTTTTCAATAGTCTGGAAATTATAAAATTTTATTAGAGATAAATAACAGTATAATTATTCGGTATGCAAATATATTCGTTGATTGAATAAAAAAAAAGTTATCGTAAAATATATTTTTATTATCTACATTTTTTTTTTCGTTTAACACGTTGAGTGCTAAAAGTCGACACGACGTTTAGCTCTCGGCGAGTTAAGACGTCATTTATTCGCGTATATATTATTAAATTATCTTTGCAACACGTGTTATATATAGTGGAAATCCTAATCAACCATATTTTAATCAAGATGTCTGAAATTAATGATTCTGATTCTGAAAAACGTTTAATTGTTTTTTTCGGTACTCCTGACGGAACGATATTCATACCTCCTACTTTTTACCTTGATCGTTTGAAATGTGCATACAATATTTCAGAAATTATTTCGATTTGTGCCAATATTCCAAAAAAATTGGCAGCCGTTTTGCGTGTAAACAACAATACGCTTTTGATAATCGATTGTGAATCGTATTACCACAATTGTTCTGTTCTCAAGGCAAAACATTTAGTAGAATTAATTAGCGATTTGGGTAGAGATCATGATAGTACGTATAATAGCGTTTACACCTAAATTCGACAACTATTTTTTCAAAAACGGCAAAGATCAATCACATTTTATTAATAAAAATAGTTTTTTTTATTTAAATTATTTACAAATTATTTTACCAATTTATAAACATTACATTGATTATTACATACAAAATGAATATTTCTGAACCGTAGTGGACCTAATTCGAATATAATATTGAATTTTTTGCACAAAAAATACTCATAGGTCCTTGGCCAATTTCCATGAAAATAAGAAGTATCTATATATATACGGGATAAACAATAGAATTGCTTATAAAACCGACTATTATAGAATGTTCATCTTTAAACGTGTTCAATATAGTATTTTAATCACTTTTCGACATATAACTTGATTTTTTAATAGTATTCAGAAAACATTCAAACCATATGACCGATTTTGTTAGTGCGAACCACATGCACCCGGTGTATACGTTGCTGTGTAAAATATGTCTAATGGTGTACACAAAATTTGGAGAATTTAAATTTTTACATTCTAAAAAGTAAAATTATTCGTTTCTGTCTCGTGAACGACACCAACATGTAAAAAGACTCGATTATTTTTCTATGATATGGTTTCATGATTTGTAAAAACAAATCAATCGATAATATACTTTTAGTCATATAATGAAAGAAAAAATCAAAATTTTCTTTTAAAAGTAATCCGTCTTTGGTGAAATTTTTAAATTGTGCACGTATTCCATAAGTTTTATGGAGTGCTAAATTTTTTGGCAATTTCAAAAAATTATTTGAACATTTCAATAGTAAAAGTTCAAAATCTTCTAGTTCGTCCAGCACACTCAATTCATTTGCAAATCTATGATATTGTGAGTCTGAGTAATATTTTGAAAAATTTAACATTAAAATATTTATGCCTAAATCTTTTCTTTCTAACGTAATATCCGATAACGTCACTTAATAACTGCGGGCCGTTTCGTATTGATCGTGATTCAACAAATAACCCGATACCGTGGACGCTTGATTTATTGCAGCTGACAAATTACGTTCACCGTTATCCTCGTCTAATCGCACACGATCGTCAAAATCGTGTGAAAATTTAAATAATTGATAAAAGAAGACTTGATGACTGACTGTTGGTAGGGAAAGAAGAAAATTGCAAGTATTCAATTTTTCGTACACTGGTTCGTATGCGTCTACGGTCATTTTTTGATTACGGAATTCGTGCATTAAATAATGTACGCAATAAAATCGCAAGTTTGAATACCGGACAGTGGCGTAGCAAGGGTATGGCAAAGTGTGCCTACGCTAGGGGCGCAAATTTGTGATTTTAAATTGGTACTTATTTTTATTCTACCTTCAAAACGACATTTCTTTATTACCTATTCGGCTATACATTTTTAAATGTGTATGGTTTTGTTTATCTTGTTTATCTTTAAATTCATGTTTCGTGTGTGTGTGAACATCGAGCTTATCATTATCGGATCGCCCGTGGCCCGTCTATAAAGTATATTATTATATTATTTGTCGTCTATATATCAATAATCTTATTTTTTAAAGTGACTGAAATTTTTAAAGTTTGAAATTTACATTATCATAATAACTGATAGTTAAATAATATTGTATTACCTAATTATATATATAAAAAATAAATGTTACAAAATATCATTCCGTATTTTCGTCAATTTTTAAACCGCTAAAAAGGCGCATTTTCCTAGGTTTACCAGGGGCGCTAACGAGTCTTTCTACGCCACTGATACCGGTCGCGATCCCAAATGGCACATTTAACGTTCGGCGGTATTTAATAATTTATTTGAAGTAAAAGGTATTCAAAAGCATGAAAAATATAAAAGTTATAATCAGAACCTCTGGTCAAATCGGGGCATATCATATTAGTTTTTATATAAGTTCGATTTGTATTGTTGGCGATCGTGCTCTTTCCAGAACCGTTTACGCCGTCTAAACATATTACGGAATGTGTCGAAAATTCGTCTAACGACAAAAGATAATCAGATAACGATAATCGTTTGACTTGTTGATTTTTGCTCGGTGCCGACCGTCTGCTATTTGGCGGATAACTACACTCTGGATAATGTATGTTTTCTCCTATCAACGCCCGTTTAAGTTCCCACGTGAGCGGTTCGGAAACGTCGTCTGAAATAACGCTCAAAATTCGACATTGATCGTTTTCGATGTCACATATATTTGAAAACTTTCTTTTTAAATCTACAGTTGATATAGTTGAAGTAATATCGTCATCCGTATACGTACTCTTCTTTTCGCAGTCGTCCGTATCCATGGCCGCCGCTACGATTAGATACCGACACTGCAGTTGTGGCTACTTCCACGAATGCTACTCCTACTGTTGTTCCGTCAACGACGAAACAGTCCACGTCCACTCAAATAGTTTTTAGAGCTGAAAATAATTTTTAAAATAAAACTTTAAGAGACAATTTTTTGCACAAAACCGTTGAACCCAAAATAATGTACACAAACGATTTGAACACTACTACTATGCAAATTTACCCGACGCGTTTTACGTGCGACATCACCAAACCTATATAGAACAAGCTATCAGTCCGGACGGCAGCAGAAATCTTGTAAAATTTTACGTTGTCGGTGTACCTTTAGGAGTGTCTCCATACGTCAATGAAACACTAATCAGCGGCACGGAGTTCGGGAGTTGCGACTTTTATATATATTTTCGGAACAGTCGTTGCTAGACGTCGCATTACGCATCATTGAAAAACGATACAAAAAAGACGTGTACGAAGTTCCTGGTCTTTTGGTTTCCGTAGGAACGACTCTGCAACCACAACGAAATTTTTTCATCAACGACCGTAGATTTTACGCAGATTTCACCTCCTATACCGAATACAGATATTTTAGTAATCGGTTGATACCGGCTAATATCTTTCACGACGTCCAGACTCAAAACGCATACCGATTCGTTTTACCCGACGAGAATCTCGCTCTATTAGCCATTATTATGCCTAGTAATTATTTTAGTATTTAGCCTAAACGCGGTTACATATCGTTTAACAACGGTTTTATTGTACATTTTTTTACGAAACATTTTATGCTTTCTGCAAATCAATCTCTGCGCGAACCACAAACCGACAGTGTAAAATCGTTTATCGTTTCAGATACACAAATAATGCACACTAATAATTTGTTAAATATTATGAAAAATAAATTTCACCAGATGGGTTTTTTGAACGTGTACACGCCCAGTACAAGACAAATCGTCGCTTACGACGGTATTATCACGGCCGTTTTGGGAGACTATTCGGACGTGAATATATAACAACAAATCGTGTATGAAAAAAAAAATAAACGTTTATTTTATTATTGTTTTTTTTACACAACAAAATTAAGTTTAAAAAGAAATTCAATAAACTTACGGATAATATAATAAAAAAATATTATAAACTTTCGAATATTTATGTAAATAATAATATTATAATAACAAAAAAAAATAAATATAAATTTAAAGACGTCCTAAACCGTATCGATCCAATCCAAATTGTTTACCAGATTAGAATATGTTTGAATAATTTAAGTTATATTTTATTAAAAACGTTTAATCACTAGTGATGAGTTAATATTATATATTGACAGTCAAAAGTTACATAATTTATATTTAATGCTGTACAAAATGACCACATCCAAATGTTATAGTTGATTTAAATTAATAATATGTTATATTAAAATAATTAATTACTACAATATCGCATGATTATAGTAAAAAAAAATACTAAACATTATAACAATAATATAGTAATCCCGTCATTCTAGCGCCATCTAGTTTCTGTACATGACAACATGGGAACGAACTAAAATAAATAGCGTAGGTCGTACCTCCGTCGTAACTCGCTTTGTGGACTAAATACAGATATAATGTTTATACGTATTTTTAATTTGTAGACTATAGTAAGATTATTCAAATTTAAACACCCCCCTTTTTTGTTTGTTAATATTATAATACTATAAAGTAAATTTTTTTTTTTGAATAATATATTGTATTGTTGATCGATAGGATGACATTTAAAACAAAATAACAGCCCAAGTGTATGACAGTGTTTCTTAAACTAACTTTTTAAATCACTGAACACCAAACAATAATATTATTTTAAAGTTTAAACGGAACTCCTAAATGAAAAATGTCTTTGAAAAAGGGTGGCAGACAAAACAATGCGACAAACATAACATTATACAATACAGCAAAACATAATTAAATTATTTATTTAGGTATCATATAGCATTGCCAATGAATTATACCAATCTGATTTTAATAACAGGAAATACATATAATAACACTAGAAGGGCACGAATCTTAATGGGATGGATGCAGGGCCGGATTGGTTAGGGATCTCGGTGGGCAGCTTGAAGTTTGGGCCGGTCGTGTGAGTGTGGGTGAATGTTTAAAAATTCATGTTTAAAATACGATTGGCCACCTATAAGCTCGTAATAATTATAGACCTTATTTTGGGCCACTGAATATGTAAATGAGCCGCTTATAGAAATGAAAATCTCGATGGACCGATACACACCAATCCAGCCCTGGATGGATGAGCTTGCTATTGACTGCATAATATATTATATGATTGACAATGTCTGGAGTAAGATTTGTCAATGAAAGTCGTACAATTTCGTCGTCAAATTCAACCAAAATATTTAGGCTTGGTTGCAGTGACTGCTGTGAATCCACTTTCACAAAAGCACCTAAGTTGAATAAAAAGGAAGGAGAACTCGAGTATTTGTTAACTGCTCAGCCATTGAAATGGGTCTTGGTTTGGGGGGGAATACTATTCGAATTGAAGTGATAGATTTTCAAGTGATTATCAAACAATCACTTTAAGTTGAGGAAAATAATTGTAATCTTCATTCTTCTCGTTTGCCCCTCTCATAAGCTCCAATAATATGCTGAACATATCGAAACAGCTGTTTTAAATTCTTGCGTGATCCACAGTTTAATATTTACTTTTTGCCTTCTATTTTACTCCTACAACTGTAAAACTTGGTTTTCTGAACAAGTTCAGATGTTCTATGGTAGTTGTTAGCTTTAACTATAAAACATTAATATATTGTTTTTTATAATTTAAATTAATATCATGATGACTACTGGGCCTCACGGAGAAAAACTCGTGTGGAGGCCCATATATATATATATATATCATGATCAATGATCATAAATAAGGCTCTCTAGATGCAACTTGTAACACTGCAAAATTATGATACAACACTATAACATATAATTTTGTTTTCGTGTAGTTTTATCATCGCTGAGGGCTTTTGATACATTTTCATTCCAAAAAATGAATTAATATTCGTGTTAAAAATAAATAATACCTAATCAATTCAAGTATATCATTTTGAATTCAATATTTTCATGATAAAATGGTGAATATGTAACAATTTTGCTATAAGTAAATAAATTATAATAATTAAAAAATCGATATGATAATATAATATATAGACATATAGTACTTTTTAAATTGTTTATCTTGGTTTTTAAAACTTGACTTTTAACTGTGATTATATATTTTTACATAAGCTTCTTTCAAATTTTTCAAATTTTATACATTACAATTTTAATTAAATTAACAATGACCGAGGACCGTAAAAGAGTGGCGAAATTAAGTAGCCATGGGTGCTAAAATTCTAAATACGGCCCTGGACACAAACCAAAATATTTAATAATTAAAACCTATGCCCTAGCCCCTAGGCCATAAGTCTGTAATACTTAACAATTCACTCAGCAAAAGTGTTGTAACTTCAATTAATAAATGGACTATTTACGTGTTAGATAAAAATATATAAAGGGTACAAAGGGTAGTATTCTAAGTATTATACTATAACGTATAGGTAGCTATATTTGTATGTGTATTTCATTATGTTCATATGAAACTTCATTCAATTCTAATAACGCATTTTTTGTTAGTAACTAAAGCGAATATTTTAAATTTAAAATACTGTTGATTTAAGTACACAAGTACGCACATACGCTCTATTCGTTGGATGGCTTATTATTTATTTATGACCTCGAAAAAGTAGCTCACATATTGAACTAATTTTCTATTACGTAGAAATAAAATCCACTTGTTGTATTTTTTTAATAGCTTTTGTTCAACAAAACTTTGATACAAAACTAGCTATATAAATAGGTTAGGTACATTTAACTTTTCAACTTTATAAAATAATAAAATAATATGTTTAGTATTAATAATTTATTTATAAGTATAAAAGGTAGAAAATACTGTTAAAGAAATTCTGTTAATAAAATTTAAATCTCACTTCTATAAAAAAAAAAAAAATAAATTACATTTTCTAAATAAACTATATAGTAATAATTTATATACTAAAAATTACTGTTTTTGAAGTAAATTGTTAGAGATAAAATAACGTGTGTAAAACGATTTAAGAATAAAAATATTCTATATTTTATAAAGTTCATATTTTATACGTAATGTATAGTCCGTAGTCGTGTAAGAGTGGCTTATATATACGTTTAACTGTTTATAGTATGGAATAAAATTGTAATTGGGGGCCTTGTGTGGCACGGTGGTTGGCTGCCGTCATTATAATGGTAAAGTACCTTCCCGCGTCACATAGTCTTGGATGGGTGACCACCCAGGTTCTTCGCGACGAATCGTTGTAAACACTCGTTCCAACCGTACCGTCGTCCCCACACAAACATCATTTGAAACCAGGGTCCATCGTTTTATCGAGGGTTACACACACTTTTTTTTCAAACATTTACCTATTCTTTGATCTGAATTTATGATTAAAACATAATATAATATATTATGACAAAATTATTTTAAAGTCGTAAATGCATTCGATGCGTTAATCGTCGTACATTTCCATTGATAAATTATTACTGGGAATATGAAAATGTATATTTACACTGTCACATGATAGTTTTAAAACGTATTGCGTCCAATCACGATCGTGTAATTATTATGCAGTGTGAGTCATTTATCATAACGACTCGATTATTGATATTTTAAATACCTATTATATCCGTCAAATATATATATTTGTCCTATAGCCAATTTCCGAATTTCGGATGTGATCGTAACTCGGCCCGAGGAAAAAAAATGTTCAAAAGATCTATTGTAAGCTCGGCCTGTGTTTCATTCAGGTAAAAATTATTTAGGTGTGAACTCGGCCCGGGGTTTTAGGTGTTAGCTTGGCCCAGGTTTTCATCAGGTAAAAATGATTGACGTGTAAACTCGACCCGAAAAATATACGTATAATATTTTTGAGAACCTGCATTTAGCATTACCCAGAGGA